TTATTACTCATTTATTCACACCTATATTAATTATGCCAACATAGCGTGAGGAAGCACATTTTATGCTTTATTTACGTGTGAAAAAACGATTTAACTTTACCTATCTTTAAAGACCTTTTTTCTCTAAACCCAATTAATAAATATTTACTTAAAAATAAAAATACATTTCGAACACCTTATCTTTAGAATAAAATTGTTATACCTAATTTTGATATATCCAATACATTTCCGATCTTTAAAAGTAAATTTAAAAATTTTATTTTATCTATTGATAATATATTTAAATACTTTTTATAACAATCACGTATATGATTTTTTAATTGTAAGACTGTTGTATTTTCTCTTTCCTATTAAAAAAAGCAGAATATTTCAAAATTTGATCGCCCAGTTTGTTTTTTATAAAGCTTTTTAGGTAGCGGTGTTCCTTTAGCCTTGTTGTCCTCTAGCCTTGTCTTTAGAATTGTTAAAATTTTAGAATTTAACTGAACTTCTACTGACTGGTATATGATTTTTTAATTGTAAGACTGTTGTATTTTCTCTTTCCTATTAAAAAGTTATGTAGGGGAACCTGTTGTACCTTTGACCACGTTGTACCTTTGGTCACTCTACACTGTCGGCTTACTATTATTATTTTCAAAAAACGTGAAGTGCCATTTGAAACAATAGTCCATGACAACTCTTCTTACCGTAAAACATCATACTTGGGATAGATGATATTGATCCACAAGCAAATATAAGTTTTGGCTCTTAAAAAGTAAATATTTGTGTTAACCTTTTTCTGATTTTAAAAATGTGATAAATTGTTGTTTGATTCATCTACAACATTATAAATATTTCCCAACATCATTTTTTTGTTATGGAAAAGTTTGGATGGTTATGTCTGACCGTAAATGGGGATTAAGACGATAATTGTTAAAGAAACCCATCTCGTGTACCTTTGACCAGACTAGAACGTTGTACTTTTGACCGACAAAAACTGTTTCCTTGTTAAATTGCGGACTTTAAGAGCGCAAATTTATAAAATTTATATCTACTTTATTAGACGTCTGTACTCTATTGCTTTTTAATGCAAAATTGTTTCTAGTATAATGGTAATGAAATAATTCTATTGAATTTTAATGCAATTAACTATTTATTCTTGGACCACTACTACATTTAGAATAATCAATTTTGTTAATTTAATTAGTTGGGTAGCTGAAGCAATGTTATTATCAAGTTCATTTTATTACCTAATTTCTGCACAGCTATAGGGAATTAAATGTATAAAAATAGTTAATAATGTTAATTTATTTTAGTCTTAAAATGCCAAGGAGCAAGGTTGGTGTTTTTCGCCAAAAGATTTCCGAAACGGATATGTTTAATGCAATGAATTTTGTGCTTCAACAAAAAATGAGTTTAAGTAAAGCTGCAAGACATTGCAACATTAAAAAATCACCTTTAATATACCACTTAAAGCAATTTAAAAAATCTGGTAGTTGCGAATATTTATAATCGCATACCAAACCAAAAAAAATATTTTCAACAGAAGAAGAATTAATATTGGTAAACTACTTGGTAGATGCTGCAAATATGCATTATGGACTAACATTAAAGCAGATAAGGTCCTTTGCATATGAGTATGCTTTAGAAAATCATAAAAAAGTTGAAACTTCATGGATAAAAAATAAATGTGCAGGTGAACAATGGCTACAAGATTTTCGCAAAAGATATAATAACAAGCTATCTCTACGTAAACCACAACCTACAACTCTTGGTAGATCTTCTGCATTCAATAGAGAAACCGTAAAAATTGTATATAAAAATTACAAAAATGTTTTAGAACGCTGTCATTTTGATCCATCAAATATTTGGAACTGTGATGAAACAGGAATTACCACAGTTCACGTACCACCATAAATTCTAGCTCCAAAAGGCAAAAAACAAATAGGGAGCATGACTAGTGCTGAACGAGGCCATAATGTAACAATGATTGCAGCCATTAATGCTACTGGAAATAGCATCCCACCATTACTTGTATTTCCACGTGCTAAATTCAAAGATCACATGTTAAATAATTGTCCTCCCGGAAGTGTAGGAGCAACTAATAAGTCCGGATGGTCAAATGAAGTCATTTTTCTGCAATTTCTTGAACATTTTATTAATAATGTGCAACCATCAATTGAAAAACCTGTTCTTTTATTAATGGATAATCATGAGAGTCGTGTAAACATTTCTGTTATTAAGTTAGCGAAAAAATCAGGCATAGTTTTAATGACATTTCATCCTCACACAACCCATAAAATGCAACCTCTTGATCGTGGTGTTTTTGGACCATTTAAAACTTTTTATAACAATGCCATGAATAACTGGATGATATCACCAAGTAATGCTGGTAAAACAGTTACAATTTATGATATATCTTACCTTGTTGGTCAAGCTTATCCTCATGCTTTTGTACCAAATAATATTATAAACAGTTTTAAATGTACTGGATTTTATCCATTTAATGAAAATATTATACAGATATAATATACAGATTTTGATGACTTTTCTGATGATTCACTTCTTAAAATATGAATTCATGGAGAGACACAAAATTGTAATGAACGACCTAATAACACAATATGGTCTCGACGTCCAAAAATAATTTGTTTCAAGATTTTTGCTTGAATTGGGTGTTAAATCTGCTATACTTTATTTCAATGATGATACATACGGTCTTAAGAGAGTTTTTAAGTTTCTTAATGTAAAATTTGACTTAAAAAATTCATTGGCATTTTATCAAAAAGATACAAAGCGTTTGAAAAACATGCTTATAAAAGATGATATCAAAGATAAAAAAAGAAAAGAAAAGTTAAAAGCATTAAAAAAAGGTTGGGTTGGTAATATAAAAAAAAAAACTCAATTTCAAAAAGGTTATTTATCTGGTAAATTTTAAATTTTTTATGCTTTTGTAATTATTTTTCTTATTTTTTCAGAGTTGCATTTTAACGATACTTAGTTGGACTTGCAACAAGATATCTTAATATTGAGTCAAGCAATTTACATCAAAATTTTTAGGAGTTATTCAAAATACCTAGATGAAGGGAATGAATGTGAAAAAATTTTAAAACTACATTTAATTTATTAAATGTAGTTTTACTCTAGAGTTTTAGTAACAAAACTCTAGACTAGCAAAACTTTTACATTTAGCAAGTAGGTGGAGCAAAACGGGACAGTTAAAAAGCATCAGTTATTCTTCAATTGTAAAGTTTTAAAAATGATGAAAAATGAAGGCTATCTATTGCTTAAATATGTTCAGCCATTAAACTGTCAAAAAAGTAACATATCCATAGAAACTACACGCCCATACACTTATACACCACAAAAAAGAAATAACCCATACACAACAAAAAAGAAATAAAATAAGATTTTTTTTTTTTGTGTGTTTTATTATAAAATACCTCCGCTCTACTCTAACCTTTATATTATTAAATTGATAACTGCTACTAAATTTGAAATTAAACAAAAAACTTTATGGATCACATAAATCACTTAAAGAATATCCTGAAACTGTTCGGCAACATTTTTGATGAGCTGGCTTATTAGCAATATGCTAATGTAGAGCAAACGTAAATACGCCATATGTATCAGCAGCTCTTCTAGTTCTAAGTTTCTGTTTACTCACACAAAACTGAGTTTCATCCCGTTTTGGATGGTTGATCTTTCTTATATAATTTCTTACCTTCTCTGTTTACATTAAACACTATTAATCATCGAAGTTAAGTTATAAAAATAAGAAATTCTTTAAATTTATTGTTAAAATTGATTCTAAATAAAAAAAAAAACAATACTTTAAATTAAAAACAAAATTATCAAACTGTAAACAGCATTGCGAAATGGTAGTATTATACTCAATTATATAAATACTAGTGTTGTCCCGATATGCCCCACAAGGATAAAAAATGCTGTCTGAAAAATATAAACTTTTTATAAATAAAGCAAATTCGCAAGATTTCAAGATAAATTTTTTGTCGCTGTATTGCTCAAGAAAATACGCAAATTTTGTTTTTCGCAAACTTACTGATGCATTTTGGTACTTTTAATACATTTCGGTATTTCTGAAATCAATTTTTTTTTACAATAACAAAGCACAATAATTTAAAATGATTTATCAAAAAAAAAAATTTGAAAAAAATTTATTTTCGGCTAAGATATAAGGCTTCAGGCATAACTGTCCCGTTATGCCCCGCTGTCCCGATATGCTCCACCCTACCCTATATAATATAGTAGGCCATGACCTTATGTAAAACATATTGTTTTTAATTTGTGAGGTAACTTTTTATCCAATTGTAGACATTAACGACTACCCCTAATGCCTCGACTTTCTAACAAAATACAACGATCAACGGTGTCAAGCGCTTTTGGTTAACCGATAAATATACCTAGATTTTTTTTTTTTATGTTAAAGCCATTATTTGATAAATTAATTCAAATCATGCGAATTCAGTTGAATGATTTTTCTGAAATCCCAATTCTTTTAAATTGAAAAAAAAAATTTTTGTAAAACGGTTAAATTTTTTGGTCTTCTAAAAATATTTGCTAAATTTAAAAAAAATTGTTTTCAGATGATAATTTTCTGAAAAAGTTTTAAATAAAAAAAGATAACTTTTTTTTAAAAAAAAAAATTTTTTTGAGGGATATTCCAATTTTAAAGATTAAAATAAATTAAGAAATTAAAATTTAATTAGAAAACCGTTTTCTCTAACTTTGGAAAGTAGTGTATTTTATTCCAAGAAGCAGATCGTTGCATTAAAAGCAAATTTTGATAAAGTTTTATTTATATTCATTATTTAAAGAAAAAAAAAGTCATTAAAAAAAACTTTGAATTGAAGTGGTTTTTGAGAAAGCTCAGTTTAAAATCGTCCAAATTTCAATCCTAGTGATATCATATATCATAACAACAATATATTAAGACACGCTGTTTAGTTGTTTAAATAAACGCAATTCGTTCACTTACTATCATTATCTAAAAAAAATATTTAGTTTCAAATAAAAACAACTTATTAAGTTACAAAAAAAAGTTAAAAGAAGAAAATGTTTTTAACTTTTATGTTTTTGTTTCTTATTTATTTTCTAATTAAAGTATTTTGGAAGCTTTGGATTTATTCTTATGGCCTGTCAACTGTTTCTACACCTCCCACATTACCATTATTTGGCAATTGTCTTCAAATCAAAAGTGATCCTGTAAAAGCCAGCAAACAACTATTCGAGTGGAGCAGAGTATACGGAAAAGTGTTTTGTGTTTGGGTTGGCATTCGGCCAACTATATTCTCATCTTCTGTTAATTTTTCCGAAGCAATTTTAAGCAGTCAAAAAATAATTCAAAAAGGATTTGTGTACAATTTTTTGCATGAATGGCTTAAAACTGGTCTACTAACAAGTACGGGAAATAAGTGGAAATTGCGTCGTCGACTTCTAACGCCAAGCTTTCATTTTTCTATACTCGATAACTTTTTAAAAATTTTTGAAGAGCAAGGAAATTGTTTAATCGATAAATTTCGTGTTCTTGCCCAAAATGGAAAATATTTTGATATTCAGGTGCCTATTGGGTTAGCTACATTAGATATAATATGCGAGACGTCAATGGGAGTGAAAATAAACGCGCAGTATCAGCCAGATTCCGAATATGTTACTGCCATTAACATCTTAAGTGAGGAAATAGTTAGACGGTTTAAGTACCCGTGGTTGTGGCCAAATATTTTTTATAAGCATTTTTCTTGTGGAAAACGGTACTTTAAAGCATTAGACATTGCTCATAAACTGTCTCTTAATGTAATTCATGAAAGAATTCAAACTAGTTTACAAAACGAAAGTGAAAATGTGTTAATCAATAAACTTGACAATAAGAGCGTGTTGAACAATGAAGAGGATCTCGGTGTAGGTAAAAAGAGGTTTTTCTTAGATTTATTGTTAGACATGCATAAAAAAGGTGAAATTGATGTTGATGGGATTCAAGAGGAGGTGGATACATTTATGTTTGAAGGTCACGACACCACCTCATCAGCAATGTGTTGGACATTATGGTTGCTGGGAAGATATCCACAAATTCAACAGAAACTGCATGCTGAAGTTGATGAAGCTGAACTAACTTCGGGTTCACTATATGAAAAAGTACGAAACTTTAAATATCTTGAAAATGTTTTAAAAGAAAGCCTGAGACTTCATCCACCAGTTCCCTTAATCAGTAGGTATATTGAAGAAGATATGATGATTGATGGTCAGTTTATTCCTAAAAAATCCGAAATCGCTATTCTTGTGATGATGATACATTTAAATCCTGAGTATTGGAAAGATCCTCACAGCTTTATACCTGAAAGATTTGATCAAGATGATTTTGTAAAGCGTAATCCATACACTTACATTCCATTCTCCGCTGGCCCTAGAAATTGCATTGGTCAAAAGTTTGCAATGATAGAGGAAAAAATGCTGTTATATAACATAATGAAACATTTTTATGTAGAATCCATGCAGAATGAAAATGAAATTTTAAGAACTCAAGATCTTATAAGTAAATCAGCTAATGGTATCATGATGAAGTTCTATGAAAGATGATATTTGTAAAAAAAAACACTTTGTTAAAAAATTTCTTTAATAACAAACATGTTTGTTATTAAAAAAATGTAAATTTTTGAATTGTTAGAAAAGAAGTTCGTACATTTGAGACTATATACTAACTATATTTTTCTATTATTTACTGTATATACAGTGCCATACTGCCTTAAGTTCAACAAATGCTTTTGCTTTGGGCCCCCTATATTTATGATTCCCCAATTATTAAAAACACGTTTTTCTAATAAGAAACTTGTTTATAAAAAATATGCACAAGAAACCAAAATTTTAATAAAATTTTAGACTAAGTTTTAGACTAGTAAATTTTAGACTAAGTTCAACTAGAAACTATTATATTAGGAGTTCGAGGATTATTTCTTGAAAACAATAATGTTGAAGAAAGTATAAATCAGCCATAACTTCAAACCATTGGTAATTAGAAGGAGAGTGTAGATGGTTAATCAGTATCCGATAGCGAAAATATTGAGAATCAATATACAGTATTGGACAAAAAATTTGCAACCACCATAGAACAATGCTAAAAAGTGTTCCTAATTTTACATGTCTTAAAAACAAAACGAACTATACTACCACAGCAAACAGTTCAGGAGTCTGGAGTCATAGCATGCCATGACATGAGCAATCACCTGACAGATGACAGCACACAGGCAGAAATTCGTTTTTTTAATAATTAAAGGAAGTATACAGAAGTTTTCAGAAGCATGCAGAAGCTTCCAGAAATTTCCAGAAGAAGCATCTGGAAGCATCCAGAAGCATCCAGAAGCATCCAGACGCATCCAGAAGCTTCCAGAAACATCGAAAAAAAGCATCTAAAATCTTTCAGAACAGGTTCACACAGGCTCATTTTACTATATAAGAGACATGTAAACCGACATGTAATTCAGTCAGTATATGGAAGTCAATCAGTCAGTATTATCAAGACAATTTATCGAAGTGAGTTTTATCAAAGTGTTTTATAGAAGAACATCAGTACAAGAAGTGAAATACAACAAGTGTTTTATAACATCAATACAGTCTACATCCAACCAAAACGTTGTGTTCCACAGAGCATTACTGTATCACAAGGTAAATGTAACACGGTAAGCCTTGAGAAGCGTGATTATTTATTTTTATTATTTTTATGACTTCAAGTGCAAAAATGGCTCCCGACAGTCTTGGATTGAAATTAAGAAAGAAAATTATTGGCGATTTCGTAAGTGTAATGTCACAAAAAATTATTTGTGATAAATATTGCGTGAAAAAATCGAGTTGTTCAAAATATCGTTCAAAATAGCATGTATCGTATCATGTTCATCGTTCTATCTGGAAGTTGGCAGCAGATAACAATGGTGGAAGACCGCGTTCCAACACTTCTAGAGAGGATTCTATGATCGTCAGATCCGTCAAGAAGGATCTCTGGTTATCATCAGTCGAGATACAAAAGCAATTAGAGCTGTCTGTATTGGACCGAACAATCAGACGACGTGCTGTTGAAGCCGGATTGTTTTCTCGACGCCCTGCAAAGAAACTGCTGATTTCACTAAAGAACCAGAAGAAAAGACTCCTGTTTGCTAATATCATATTGACTAGAATGTGCAGAAATGATAAACTGTCCTGTTCAGTGATGAATCGAAGTTCAACATCATTGGAAGCCATGGCATTTGCCGTGTACGTCAACCGGCCGGAAAACTCCTCAATTTACGTTACTGCCATAAGACCGTGAAGCATGGTAGAGGCAATGTAATGGTCTGGGGGTATTTTCTGCGAACGGTCTAGGTCCAATACATCAAAACGATGGAATAATGGACCGTTTCATGTATAAAAATATCCTGAAAGGTGTTATGTTACCTCATGCTGAATGGAATATGCCAATAAAATGGGTTTTTCAGCAAGACAACGATCCGAAACACACTGCAAAAGTAGTCAAGCAGTGGTTTCAAGACAACCACCTATCGGTGATGGATTAGCCGCCTCAATCTGCGGATCTCAACACTATCGAGAACCTGTGGAAGATCGTCAACCGCAGAATTAATCGTGAAGGTGTTCGTAATAAGGGTCAACTGTTTGAACAAGTCCAAAAGGCCTGGGCAGCAATTCCACAAAGTTTCATTGATCACCTGATCGAATCTAAGCCTCTAAGATGCAAGGCTGTGATCGACAACAAAGGATTCGCTACGAAATATTGATAGCGAAATACAGCTTGGTCAAGATTTTGTGGAGTTGCACTTGTTTTGTCCAGAAGGAAATCAACTTTTTTTAATACTTTTTATTAATTTATTAACTTTCGTGTACAAATAATGAACTTTGTGACGAATAAAACTTGAGGAACATTGTCTCTAAACAGTTACATATTTATTTCTCTAAATTGAAAAAATGCAGCACTTTTATATAAACTAAATTAGCATTATTTGGTTGCACTTGTTTTGTCCGATACTGTATATATATATATATATATATATATATATATATATATATATATATATATATATATATATATATATATATATATATATATATATATATATATATATATATATATATATATATATATATATATATATATATCCAAATGCAGGCATCGAAACAAGTTTCTTCTCGCCCACTTCGACACGGCTGATTAAACAATTTTCTAATTAAAAATTTTGTTTTGACGTCAGAACTCATTCTATTGCTTTGTTATTGTTTTTTCTGTTAATTTTTGTATTTTGTATTTTTTAACGGTTTTTCTTGTTTTAAAAGAATAAAATATGGCTGATGATTGCCGAAGGGCATGAAACTTCAAGTACCATCAAAAAGTTGTATTTTTTCAAATAATCAAACTCTATTATTATTATTATTGATCTATTTTGTAAACACTTACATTATATTGATCACTCTCAAACGAACAAGAGATTTTTGTATCTTAATTTGGTACAATAAAACAACAATAATCAGCTCCGTACGTTGAGCACTCTTCTCAAGTCGTCTGCATAATGAAAAAAACTAACTTGAATTATTCAACCAAGAACATTCCGATTCCATCAATAAAGGACTACAAAATACAGTTACTTGATAAAACCGAAGCATTAATAAAAAGAATGAGATGGAAAGCTTTCTTTTTCATCAATAAAGATCAAAAAAGTAAGGAAAATTTTTATTATAACAATTACGGCATAAAAACATCAAATTACCCCAAGCAAATCTCCGACATGACTGCATTTGAAAACGATCTGATAGACCTAATAAAAAACATTAAATTCCGTAAAGTCTACAATAATTTCCAAAACAAATTAAAGAATGACATATCTACCATACGCAATAGCAAACTTACTTACACTTTTTCCGATAAAACATCCAATTTATATAATATATCTAAAGAAAATTACACCCATTTACTTACAAACGCTATCACCTCAACATACAAAAAATCGAATACAAAAATAAAAAACCAAATAAATAAAGAAGGTAAACAGATATTACAGAATCACGACGTTTTTAATAAAATTAATATTAACACACCTTCAAATTGCTTTATAAAATTAAAAGACCATAAAGAAAACTTTACAAACAATCCAACTGTCCGTTTATTAAACCCCGCCAAAAACGAAATCGGCAGAATTAGCAAAGTTATACTTTCTAATATAAACTCTGAACTTGTCAATAAACTTCACCTCAATCAATGGAAAAAAACACAAGATACCACAAACTGGTTTAATTGCATCAGAAATAAACACCTTTGTAAATTCCTTGTTTTTGACATTGTTGATTTTTACCCATCAATAACAGAAAAATTACTCAACAATGCTATCCATTTCGCTGAACAACATCTAAATATTGAACCTAACCATAAATCATTGATCTATCACGCAAGGAAGTCATTACTATATAATGATGATCAAGTTTGGATTAAAAAATCAGGCGGTTTATTCGATGTTTCAATGGGAGCATTTGACGGAGCTGAAGTTTGTGAACTCGTGGGAATTTATCTATTGTCTCAAGTTGCACAGGTTTATAATAAAAATGATTTCGGACTATACCGCGATGACGGCTTAGCAGTTTTTAAAAACATGAGTGGCCCCCAAATGGAAAAAATTAAAAAACATCTTGTTGAAATATTTAAAAAAAACGAACTCAATATATCAATACAATGCAACATGAAAATTGTAAATTACCTCGACGTCACATTAAATCTAAATGACCATACTTTCCAACCATATTCTAAGCCCGGAAATTCTTTAAATTATATTCACACTGATTCAAACCACCCGCCAAATATTTTAAAACAGCTTCCGCATTCAATTGAGTTAAGATTGTCTGCAAATTCGTCAAGTGAAGAAATTTTCCAAAGATCTACTCCTGCATACAATGACGCACTGTTAAAGTCCGGTTTTAATCATAAACTTTCATACCACCCTAATTTAAATTCACCTTATACAAAAAACCGTAAACGCAACATCATTTGGTTTAACCCACCTTTCAGCAAAAATGTAAGCACTAACATAGGAAAAAGCTTCTTAACTTTAGTCAACAAACACTTCCCAATAAACCACAAGTTCCACAAAATCTTCAACAGAAACACCATAAAAGTAAGTTATAGCTGTATGCCGAACATGAAATCTATCCTAAATGCACACAATCGACAAATTATGAACAACAAAAAAGATCTACCTAAAACCAATTGCAACTGCCTTAATAAAAACACCTGCCCTCTATCAAACCAATGCTTAACAAAAAACATTGTATACCAAGCTAAAATAAGTTCAACTAATCCTACTACCAATCCTGTCATCAAACTATACATCGGTATAAGCGAAACACCATTCAAAATTAGATATGCCAACCATGTAAAATCTTTTACCATTCAAAAATACAAAAATGACACTGAACTATCAAAAGAATTTTGGAAACTGAAAGATGCAAATTTAAATCCAGTTATTAAATGGAAAATAATTAGGCAGTGCAATGCTTACAACCCAACCATGAAGTCTTGCAAACTGTGTATAAATGAAAAATATCAAATTCTGTTTTCCAAAAATAAAAATCTAATTAACAAAAAAATGAAATGATATCCAAATGCAGGCATCGAAACAAGTTTCTTCTCGCCCACTTCGACACGGCTGATTAAACAATTTTCTAATTAAAAATTTTGTTTTGACGTCAGAACTCATTCTATTGCTTTGTTATTGTTTTTTCTGTTAATTTTTGTATTTTGTATTTTTTAACGGTTTTTCTTGTTTTAAAAGAATAAAATATGGCTGATGATTGCCGAAGGGCATGAAACTTCAAGTACCATCAAAAAGTTGTATTTTTTCAAATAATCAAACTCTATTATTATTATATATATATATATATATATATATATATTTATATATATAAACAACTCTAAAACTTCTATATAAACAACTCTAAAACTTCTGTATATATATATATATATATATATATATATATATATATATATATATATATATATATATATATATATATATATATTTATATTTAAACAACTCTAAAACTTCTATATTGTAAAAACCTTAATATTATTGTAACCTGAGATAACTTTATAAAATTGTAAATTGTTTTATGAAGAAAAAAAAAGAAGGATATCAAAGGATATCAAAGGATTTGAAATCAAACATTTTTTAGCTTAAAATAATTCTATATTAAATACAAATATACAAAGATTTATATGATCACAAAAAACATATTTGAAACATCATTTTTTCCTAACTAAAGACATGGTTCACATCTTTTTTATTATTATAATTGTTTTTTATTTTTTTTATTTAGGTACCCCAAGAAGTCCTTACGGTCTTATCATAGAGCAGCGCGGATGAGCATTTAATTGGAAGTTCACGCCTTCCTCCTAACAGATGTCGCAAAACTTGCCAGGAGTTGGGGTTTGAACCACCGATCCTTTGTTTCTGAGGCAAGTACGCTAACACTGCGCTCACCTCAGCTCATATGCACATCTACTTAACACCATCTTGTGTTATGTCCAAGTTTTAAGTTTACATTTTCTACATGGCAAAATACTTTTTTTACTGGCAATCATTGGATGTGTTCTTGTCATCAGTCTGATGTAAATATGCAATTGGAATGACATTTGTTTTACCTTATAACTTGTTCCTAACTTATAATTTATTTTTTCCAACTTTCTCCTGACTGCTCAGAGTACCTAGTGGAGACCCATTTGTAATCACAAACAGCTCCCACGCATCTAATGCATGCTGGGACTTTGCATAGCTTAGTCCTAGCGTGCATCAAAAAGCATAGCATAATGAAATATCTGTTTAGATAATATCATCAATCCATAACCAACTTCATTAAATTTGTCAGGGTAAACTTAATTAATGCTAAGGAGTATGCTGAAGTAAGATAACAAGGCAGAGAGTTTATCTTGGTATTCTGTTTTACAAATTACAGAACGGATTGACTATCTCTCTTTTGGACTAAAAAATTTGTTTATTGGTCAGTGTTATCACCACTATAAAAAGGATAATAAAGGAGCATTCCTCTTTCTTCCCTATTTTTGATAAGAAAAAAAAAAATTTTTTTTGCATAGTCATCACTTTCAAACACTAAACGAAAAATTTATTTAAAAAACATATTTTAAAGATTTTATGAAGACCAAATTTGAATTGATTATAACTTTAAATGCATGATAATTTATTGATAAAATTTAATGCTAACATTTTGCGTTTATCCAAAAGTTAATTTTAAAAAATGTGACTGTGAAAATGGCCGTTTTATAAGGTAAAGGATTTTGTTGACGATTTTTAATTTTTTAAATAGAACACATACTTAAAAGTAAATAACACTGTTGTTAGCTAAACTTTTCTGAAATATTAGCTAAAGTTAGCTATAGTTGCAAGATTTTAAATGTCTAAACAAAATTTCTGTTTACTTTACAGTAAATGTAAAGTTACATGAGTTGATTATGTCCAAACTTTGCTTTTAAAAATATGTGGCTATGAAAATAGCCGTTTAATGCACCTACTAAAAGTTAGTGTTTGTGCGGTGACTTGTGGACTTTCTCGTTATGTTTAGGAAGCAGAGCAGCTTGTATGTTTGGCAGCACACCACCATTTGCAATAGTGACACCAGCTAACAATTTATTTAATTCTTCATCGTTTCGGACAGCCAGTTGTAAATGACGTGGATTAATTCTGGATTTCTTGTTGTCGCGAGCAGCGTTACCAGCTAATTCCAAGATCTCAGCAGAAAGATACTCCATCACAGCAGCTAAATAAACTGGCGCTCCTGATCCGATACGGTTAGCGTAATGTCCTTTGCGCAAGAATCGATGAATACGCCCAACGGGGAACTGAAGTCCAGCTCTTGATGATCTTGTTACAGATTTTCCTTTAGCTTTTCCTCCTTTGCCACGTGACATTATAGTTTTTTTTTAACAAAAGAAATTAGAAGGCAGAGACAACTGGTTTGATCAACTTGTTAAAATCAATTATTTACTTTTAAATTTACTTCTTTTATTTATACGTAAAAGTGGTCTCAAAATTATAATTTTTTTCGAATTTTTTACTTTTCGATTTTATTTTATTAGAAGTAAAATATGTTCTTTTTTTCGAGACATTAAACGTTGTTTAATTGTTAATAATGAGACAGTGTGCTAACTAATAATTTTTTCAATGATGGTGAAAATTTGTTGACCACGAGACATTTATGTTAACTTTTATTTTTAATATCTTATTCTCAGTATATACAAATGGGATTATTCATACGATAAAATTTATTTATTTTGCAATAATCAAATAACTTTTACAATAACTATTATACAGTTAAAATGCAAATATTATCTGTTTGCGGTATACTCTCTCTTTACATTTTGGCGAAAAGAACAATTAAATTTTGATTCGTTTACAAATAATTTAATAAATTTGTTGAACTTATTTATACCCCCAGTTTAATTGTGAGATTTCTTAAAAAATTAAACTATTTAAAAATCATGCTAATCAGTAATTATATTATTTTTTTATGTTATAAAAATAACAAGTTATACTTTTTTTACACTCAAATAAATTTATTTCTATCAATATTAAAATAATTTTTATAACGGAGCGACGCCGTCTCTCTGGGTTAGAAAACCCTTTACTATTTTTGTACGCAAAAATTATATATATATATATATATATATATATATATATATATATATATATATATATATATATATATATATATATATATATTTTATTCAAATATATCTGCTTCAATTTAAAAGACTTTTTTCCTAGTTAGGGAATATTTATGTCGTTAATTATCTTTAGTATAATCTACAATAAATATTTTTAGTCATTACGTCTTCATTTAGATATTAGTTTTTTAGTTAATTTGAAGATCATTTTAGCAGTATTAATAAACAATAAAGACAAAATATACACTTTTGACCGCCATTAAATAGACCCTGTAATAAAAGTTAACCTCGTGGATTTTTTTTTATATTGGTTTTGGAGTTACTGAATGCAATCCCGTAATTTATATGCGTTTTAAAATATTAAAACATTCTTTTAAATTGTTAAACGTCCTTATTTATTTTATATTGCACATAAAATATTGGTAACACTGCTTTTGATACAAAAAAAAAATATTGTAGTGTAAGTGAGTAAATGTTTTTATTAAATGTTTGAACCTTATACAGGGTGTCTGCCAATATTTTAAGATGGATTTCCTTGATATTTCCCTGATCTGGCAAACACCCTATTATAGAGTGTTAGATTATTTGATAGCTAAAAGTAAGTTTTCACACTTTTTGGGTTATATTTATACATGAACTTGTAAAACATAAAGAATTTTTAAGTAAATAAAATTAAAAGAGAACGTAAATATCGAATTATTAATTTTAAGTATTACCTTTAATTATATAAATTTTTTTTATTATATCCAAACATTTTAAAATTGATTAGAACACAGAGTAGTAAATATTAAATAATATATTGAAATGATTTAAGTATATTAAATAATAAACAAAATCAAAATGAAATCAAAAAAAATGATTACTTAAATCTAATAATTATTTGAAATCAAAAAAGTTATACTGAAGTGGTAAAGTATTAAATATTTGATTTTTCGTCCCTTTCAAGAAAAGAAATTATTAAAAGGCGGCATTAAAAAACTATGTGAGTTCCCTTTTTTTATTTTATTCATAATATCTGCAAAATTTTTAAAACGTAAAACAATTAAAAAATATATAACGTTAAAACGATTTTTAAAACCACTTTATTTTCGCAAATTTTTTTATTTGAAAAATGAATGGTCTCCAAAATATTTACACAATTTACTTTAACGTGAAAAAACGTTTTTTAAGTTCGAATTCGAAAATACTTGTCGATTTCAAAATTCGCTAATAATACTGAGTTTTGAGACCACTCGGAAAAATAAAACAAGTAAAATATTAATTCAATAATTATAGTTCATAAGTCTTTCAAGGCGGTTCAGTTACTTTTAAGAAGCAAAGTTAAAATGTCTCGTGGTAAAGGAGGAAAAACCAAAGAAAAGTCCAAAACTAGATCCTCAAGAGCTGGTCTTCAGTTCCCTGTTGGACGTATTCACCGATTTTTGCGCAAAGGACATTATGCTAACCGCATAGGGTCAGGTGCACCCGTTTATTTGGCTGCTGTTATGGAATATCTTTCTGCTGAAATCTTAGAATTGGCTGGTAACGCTGCCCGCGACAACAAAAAATCAAGAATCAACCCGCGTCATTTGCAATTGGCTGTTCGAAACGACGAAGAGTTAAATAAGCTATTAGCAGGTGTCACTATTGCAAATGGTGGTGTGTTGCCAAATATACAAGCCGCTTTGCTTCCCAAACATAACGAGAAAGTCCATAAGTCACCGCACAAACACTAACTTTTAGTTGGTATATAAAACGGCTATTTTCATAGCCACATATTTTTAAAAGCAAAATTTAGGCATAATTAATTCATTTTTAAATATAACTTTACTTCATAAAGTAAAACAAAGATTCCATTTAAAACAAAAACTTAAAAAAAAAAATTTTTCAACGGTGCTATTATTTCAGCAAGTGTTCTATTTAAAAAAAAATTATTTTTTAATATTTAATTAAAATATTTTTAAATTAAATTAATTTTTTATTAAATCTCATGATTGTCAAATAGAGAATTAAAAATTTCGAAAACAGATAATTTTTTGGAGAAAAAATGATAATTTTATTGTCGTTTCTATGGACAGTTAAATGCTGTCTGTTATTAGGATGTAGATAAGGCGGCGGACCTGTACACGGCGCACCCTAAACTCGGTGAAGTTCGTAAACGAACTCGGTAAAGTTCGAAACGATAACTTTGCCGTTTAATGATTGGCTAATATTAACGAATGAAAATTTAGCATATAATTTTTTAATTCGCACTTCCTTTTTATTTATTTTACTTTATTTTTACCGCCTTTAAATTAAGTAAGATGACACCTTTAGCTGAGTTCATTGAAAGTAATCAAAGAAGAAATATTGGTTGATTTGACATAACAGATTATCCTTTGTATCTTTAAAATACTTAATTTGAGGAAAAACATATTTGGCGATGCAACACTTGCAAAAAGACAAAGTCAATTCGAGCAGGATTTTGCGAAAGCTCTACATCTTTAAGTGTAAGTCTGATACTTCAATTACTGTTTTTATGCGTCCTGGAGGTTCCTGTAACCGCTGCATCTGAGGTAGTAGGTGTAAACGAAAATTAAAATGTAAAACATTAGTGCCAATAATTCAACAATGGGTTGCACTTAGATCAATAATACACTCAGATCAGTGGGCTTCCTATGCTAATTTAAACAACTTAGGCTACAATCATTTCACTGTAAACCATACAATAAACTTTGTTGATCCTGACACTGGAGCAACAACAAATCATGTTGAGTCGTTTTGGTGTCGCATGAAACGAAGATTAAAGTATGTTTTTTGATCTCAGGGTGATTTAAAGTGGTCTAGTGGTCTATTTCTCTTTATTCTTAAAACATTAATGATAGGTATCCTCTGTAATGTAATATAAAATAAGTATTATAATATAATATTTACATTTAAAATGTTTCATAATATTTGTATTGAACTTGTTTTTTTTTAATGTACAACACAATATATACGTTAAAGAAGAAGATAACTGTAGAAGATCGATTAAAAGAAGATTAGCCACAAAAAAGTATGCAAAGAAAAGAAGATACCTTAAGAAGATCGATTACAAAAAAGAAAAGCCACAAAAAGTTATGTTAACAAGAGAAGATACCTTTAGAAGATCGATTTAATCTAATATTTAATGTAGATATGTTGATAATTTGTAAAATTTTAAATTTTTCATAAAATGTTACATTTTTATTAAAATGCATTTACGCAAAGTTTTTGTTTTACTATTTTCTACGTTACCATTATGGCGCGCAATGAAGTAATATTTTAGCGCCCATTCTGCAAAATACCAAAATGCAAACACCGAGAATATTCGTTCCAAGAATTAACAAACTTCAACGAGTTTAGGGTGCGCCGTGTACAGGTCCGCCGATAAGGCTGTATGTTATTAAGATGTCGATAAGGCTGTATGTTATTCAGAAATCTTTTCTGAATATTTTTTTAATGCGGTAAAATGAGTTTAGCTTAAAATAAATACATATATAATAACTATATTATCTTGTAAAAAATCTGGTTAAAAATTAAACCAAATAAATATTGTATTCCAGGTGGTCTGAATTTACCGCTAAAAGTTAGTAAATTGACATTATTAATATATTTTGCAGACGATACAAAGTAAAGCGTTGTAGCTCTTGTGTCAAAAGCTTTCAAATAACGGGGTTTTAGTTCAATGGGCTTAAAATCTTTTCTTCAAATAATTTTCAAACATAGACCCTTTGATATTTCCAACCAAAAATATAATCTGTAGGCGTTTTTTAATTGTTTTTCGCAATTATGATAAGTGATATTAGAAAGTTATATTCGTTTACATTTCTTAAACATACAGCTTTATAAAATAGATTTCTAATTTAAAAAGATCATATAGTTAGTCTATCAAAATTTTAAATTTTCTTTAAAATAAATTTTTTTTGTTTGGTATTTTGAAGTAAGGTAAACAGGAGTAACTCCTACTTTTAAAAAAGTTAAAAAAAAAATACAAAATATACAAAATTACACTATACAAAAGTAGAAATAGGAAAACGATTCAAGAATTCCTTTTATTTACTAATTCAAAAAAACATTTTAATGTAAAAACTAAGTTTTAATAAACTTAAAAAATAAGTTTTTCAAAATTTAACACAAAATTGGGGCAATCTCGCCCCGTTTTGAAAAAAATGCATTTTTACAGCAAAATATTTATAAGAACTGTTGAAAACACAATAAATGATAAATAATATAAAAAACTATGAAATTTTTTTTAAAGAAGTATTTTAAAACAGTGGTAAGGGTTAGAATATATATATATTTTTTTAATTTTAGGTGCATGTAATGCATAAAATCAGCGGCATCATCAAGTTGCGCTTCTTTGTTTCCATTCCTTTTTGCTAGAATATGTGAATGTTTTGGACTTATTGAAGTCTTCTTTTTTTTTTTTTTTTTTTTTGATGAGTTTGAAAATGCATTCATCCAAAATAAAGCCTTTGCTATATTGTGTTCTCATGGCCATTTCTTTTATCTCCTCGTTTTGCCGTTGTGATGGTTTTCTGAAAAAAGGTGTGAGTTTCTTTTTAAAAAATGACTATTAATGATAGATCTATCAAATGTATTACTAATTACAGATATTGTTGAGCATCTTGCTTTCCGTTACAAGCAAAACTACAAATTTCATAGTTAAAAACATCACCATCTAGAAAAGTGAGAAGTATCATTTCATTTAAAATGTACATTAAACACACCCAAAATATAAATGAGATAAAAAGTCATTAAATTTTTTTTTTTTTAAATCGATTAAAAAAAAAAAAAAACTATGAAGATAAAAAAAAAAAAAAACTATGAAGAACTATGAAAAAAGAACTATGAACTATGAAGAAGAAAGCTTACAATATGAAATCTACAATTGCAATGGAGACGAGAAAGGTCTGGATCGATCGATTGCTACTTGCAGTTGCGGTATTCAGATAAAATTAGTTACGAATTTTCGCTTCAAAAAAATTAAACTAAGAAATAAAAAACTAAGAACCTGAATAAATTAATAAACTTAAAATTCATTATATATATATATATATATATATATATATATATATATATATATATATATATATATATATATATATATATATATATATATATATATATATATATTTATAATTTTATAAATTATATATATATATATATATATATTTATAATTTCATGTTTAAATAGAGGGTAGAAAAAGAAGATCACTAAAAAATATCAAAGTATATTTTTAAATCTTTGATTGTAAAAATAAGTTCTTTAAGCTTTCGTTTAAAAGAAAAATAGTTACTTTGATGAATAAAATCCTCAGTAAAATTTTTTAAAACTATTTTATTCCATAAGAATGGTCCGCGATAATCAATACAAAATTTAAAAAGATTTGTTTGAAAAATGGGAATAATGAGTGATATAATTGTACTAAAATATGTTTGTTTAAAATATTTCTTGCTTTGTACAATATTCCTATACTTTTTGAAATTCGACTTGATAAGTTTTTAATGTGATTTTTTCATGTAAGATTTTCATCTATACAAACATCAAGAAAGTTAGTTACTGTTACTTGTTTAATTTGAATACTGTCAATAACAAGGTGAGGCATGTTAATTGGCAGTTTATGTTTTTTGATAACTTGTTAGTCTTAAGCTAGTCAGATATTTTGATTAACTCGATATTTTTGTAATCAAATAGAGTAGGAATGGTTTTGTGTGACATAATAAATTAGTGTCATCAGCAAACATAATTGTTATTAAATCCAAGGCTTTGTATAGATCATTAACATAAATAAGAAAAAGAATAGGTCCTAATATGGATCCTTGAGGAACTCTAAATGTAATATTTAACAAGCTTGATGAAAATGTTTCATTGACGTAAAAAAATTGTTTACGATTAGTTTAACAACTTTTCAACCATTTTAAAAAAGCCTGTTATACCATTATACTTTAATCTTTAAGCAATAATACTATGATCATTGGTATCAAACGCTTTCGCTAAACTAATAAATATTCCCAATGTGAATTATAGAATTGTTATACGAGCCTGATATACTTCTTGTAAGCTGAATAATAGCATGCTCTGTTGAATTTTTTTTTTTTAATCCATATTGTATGTTATATAATAATTTGTTTGATAAAAGGTGATTGAATATTCTATTGTACAATTCTTTCTAAAGTTTTAGAAAAAACAGAGAAGATAGAAATTGGAAGATAGATAGTTTACGTTTTTTTTTTCTCCGTCTTTAAATATAGGAATTATTTTTGCTATTTTTAAATCATCATGAATAACTCCCTGATTAATAGAGCATTTAAAAATTTGAAAAAGTATGTCTTTTAAAACGTCAAAACAGTTTATAATAACATTCCCATTGACATCATCTGGACTAACTACTTTATTTGACTTTACCAATTTAAAAGCACTTTCAAACTCTTTAAAAGACAAATTAAAAAATTTTAGATACGAGTTTAGAGGGTTATATGTTGCCATAGTTTTTTAAGTTTTGGAATTTTTTTGACTAGGTTTGGTCCTACAGATACAAAATACTTTTTAAATTCGGAAGCAATTGTTTTTTGATCAAGAAAAAAAATCTGCTTTAATAACTGAGGGCAAATATTTCGACATTTTTTTAGTGTTACCAGTAATTTCGTTTATTAGTTGCCAAGTGCGTTTTGAGTTTAATTTGTATTATTTATTTTAAGTAAAATAATGTAGTATAATGTTTTCGAACTTTTT